AGGAATCTCCATACTTTTTTCCATAATGGCTGCACCAAACTACATTCCCACCAACAGTATAAGAGTGTTCCTTTTTCTCCATACCCTCTCCAGCATTTATCAGTTGTGGACTTTTGAATGATGGCCATTCTGACTGGTGTGAGGTGATACCTCATTGTAGTTTTGGTTTGCATTTCTCTGATAATTAGCGATATTGAGCATTTTTTCATGTGCCTATTGGCCATTTGTATGTCTTCATTAGAGAATCACATGTTTGGGTCTTCTGCCCATTTTTGGATTGGGTTGTTTGGGTTTATGTTATTAAGTTGTATGTGCTGTTTATATATTCTGGAAGTTAAGCCCTTGTCTGTCTCATCTTTTGCAAATATTTTCTCCCACTCCATGCATTGTCTTTTTGTTTTGCTTATGATTTCCTTTGCTGTGCAAAAGCTTATAAGTTTAATTAGGTCCCAGTTGTTTATTTGTGCTTTTATTTCTATTATGTGGGTAGACTGCCCTAGGAGAAAATTGCCAAGATTTATGTCACATAATGTTTTGCCTATGTTTTTGTCAAGAGGTCTATGGTGTCTTGTCTTATGTTTAACTCTTTAAGCCATTTTGAGTTTATTTTTGTGTATGGTGTGATGAAGAGACTGTGTTTACTCCACTGTATGTTCTTGCCTCCTTTGTCAACAATTAATTGACCAAAAGTTTAAAAGGATGGTCAAATATCTATCCCTGAAATGGTCTATTTCAATTAAGTTTTTAAGGAATAGATAATTATCATATTGTATCAATATTCTAGAACATTAAAAAATAGAAAATTTTATAATTCATTCTCCAAATACACCCTAACCCAAATAGCTTACCAAAGATTGATAATAAAAAAGGGAAAAAACCAAAGATTGATAATAAAAAAGGGAAAATCTTGACCTAGAAAACTCTAGGTCAAGATCATTTATAAAGAGAAGTTTAAAAATTCTATTTGAAATATTATCAAATTGAATCCAAAATTGCAATAAAATTATATAACTATTTATGAACAAGAATTAACATGTAGGGTTTATCCTAAGAGTGCAAAGATAGTTCTTCACAATTGTATACTACATTAAGGTGTAAAACATATAATTACCTTATCAAAACAGATAAATTGTTTATAACATTCAAAATCCATTTCACATTTTAAAAACAAAATACTAACAAAATTACAGTATAAGAAAAAGGAGGAAAAGTTCTCAAATGGACGTCTACCAAAAACCTAAGTTGGACATAATTATATTTAACAGTTACACATGAAATAACTTTCATTCAAGTAAAATGTTTTCTGATTTGCTAATACCATATTTAGGCAACAAGATTCTTTGATAATCTTTCAAACTTTTATGTTTCTAGGCCATGCATTTCTTGACCTGTCAGGAAAAATATCCTGCTTCAGATAATGAATCACATTCTAAGTGTGATTTTAATTTGTTTAGTTTTGAGAGAATGATTCTAGGGACATCTCCACAGTCTTCTATCAAGCTAAATCTACTACAGTACCCTAGAACTTTTACCTTCCATGAATGTCTGGGGAAAGAATGACTTTTCCGTAGGAGTAAACCAAGTCTTAAAGGTGATTACCAAGGTACATAATAGAAGCAGAACCAAGATCAAACCCAAGACAGGAGAATTCCAGTCCAGAATTCTTTTCATGCTGCCTTCTGTTGATACAGACCACGTTACCTCTGCTTGCAGACAGATGCAGCCACGGTTAACTGGGCACCTGAGCCTATTTCTTTTCACTACGTTACATTTTCAGATTGAATGCTAAGAGTGTGTAGACTCCAGTAAGAACATCCCTGCTAATCTCCATGAAGAGTTGACATCAATAGATATAAGCTTAGATTCAGTATTTTAGGCAAATGAAAGGTTCAATGTGACAGTAAGATTAGACTCCCAGGAAAGCCTAGATTCTCAGTAGCTAGGAAAGAGCAATTCCTGAGTCTAAGCTGCAAGATCTGCCCTTGAGAAGAGACCTGAAGTAAAAGTTTACATCTCTAGAGAACAATACATGCATATTCTGTTTGACAATGAATGCCTTGCATTTACACTATTTAATTCTGAACTATTGTTTTAATATATGTAGATATAAATATATAAAATAGAAATTGTATACACATTTATTTTAGGAAATGATATACATAGCAGTATGTTAAAATGCATTGCTACTACATGCTTTTTTTCCACAATTGGTGCTATTATTCATGCCCATCCAAGTAGTGCAAAGGCTGTTTCACATTCAGCCAACAAACATTAGTGCAGAAGACTGCCAGTGTTCTCAGCAATGAGCCTCCACTGTCCAGTGTGCTTTGCAGCCCATGGGATAATGCCTTGGGAGCTTCATTTTATGTCATTTATTTACTGCCTGACAACCTGTCTTGACCTTTAAAAGTGTACAAATAATAATCCTAAATCTACCACAAAGACTAAAAAGATACTGCATTTCTGGAAATTAGTGAATACTTGGAGCTGATTGACAATGTATCATGAAAAGTTATGGAGTACAGTTATGCGGTACTTAAGAGTGAAATTTATAGACTTAAAATATATTTGAAAAAATATACTGACAATTAGTGAGTTAAGCATGAAATGTAAGAAGTTAAAAGACAACATAATTAACACAAAGAAGAAAGAAAATAATTTGTAATAAGAGCACTTATTAAGTGAAATAGAAAATAAAGAAACAATAGATAAAGCCAAAAGTTGGTTCAAATCTCTGGAAAAGTTTGATCAAGAAAAAAAAGAAAGTATTAAAATAAATAATGCTAAGAGTGAAAAGAGGGTTTTACCATTTAGCAAAGATGAAAAACATGTAATAGAGTTTTATGAACAATGGAATGTATTACCTAGCAAAGTTAAAGACATAAGTATCATACAAATAGCAATTCTGTTATGGTACAAACTCTAGAAAAATTTTCACACATACCCTATTCAAGCATGTTCAGAATTAAGCCCACCTGGGCAAATAAAGCAATCTAGATGGCTCTGTGGCAAAGCACTGTCTCTATCTGGTGATAGCTACTTTGATATGTCAGCAGAAAGGCCATTAGCCAAAGCTCCTAGACAGTAGAGCTTGGAAATAGCAGGAGAGAGGGCTGCTGTGCACTGGAAGGAAGGATTCCCCTGACTCTGCTTTCTTAGCTCTCTTTGGCAGGCTCAGAGGTGGGAATACGTAAGACAAGGCAGCAGCCACCATGCTGCTGTGATTTAGGTTGAGGAACCATGTAAGCACACTTCCTACTTAGTGATTTTTATTCCAGGGATGTAGCTACACATACACTTCTGTATAACAACAGACATGCCATAAGCTATTTACAAAAGGTCTCCTTTGCTCCCTGTAACTTTACTGAGTAAGAAATTACTATTTAGCTATGTTTTTAGGTGAGGCAACCAAGATATAATGTGTAATTATTATGAGGCCATTCTGAGAGTAAATTTTTGAATCTGTATCTCCTCTAAGGATGAAATTAAATTCTTTTTGCAGGATTTTTAATGTCTCTTAGTCATAATTTTATATTATGAAGCACTATTCAAAATACACCATAACTCTCATGTTGCAGAAAATTCTGGGAGAGGTAGAATATTCTCCTCTGGTATATGAGAATAAACAATCCAATAATTTTTTGCAAATTTCTTCCACAAACAATATTATCTCTTCTAGTAGTACACATTTTTTTTGTCTGCAATATGGATGTTAAGCCCTCTGATTATAGAGGCCTTGATCTTAGAAAGCCTCTTCTTTTAGCAGATAATGACTGCCATCAATGATTTTATAGACTTTATTTCATTGGATTTTATGGTAGGCAGATATTTATTTACTTTCTAATCTGAAAATTACCTAGGGATAGATGTATGTTGCAATTTGTCTGTTTTGTCTTTTCTACTTAAAATGTTGCTATTGTTAATTCATTTATTACTTTGTACTTTGTGTTTAATAAACAGTTCTATTTGGGGTATAGATGGGGAATTCAGTTACTCAACTGACACAGAATAACTATCTAGCATATAAAGTTCTGACAAATAAAGGCCATACAGTTTAAAATTTATCTTTAAGAAAAGGATTCTTTTCTCAAAAATAGCTTAAGGGAAATTATTTTCATAGCTTTAAATCTTAAAGCATCACCAGTCAATAAATGCAGTTTGACACATTCTGCGTGTGTGTAGATTTTTATAACGTTATTTATTAGTCTGAAAGTTCTCCTGAACAACAGAGATTTTTCTGACAAAGGTGGAAATAAATCCTGATGGGAATATTATAGATAGAATTTAAGGATCAAATCAGTAATTCAGTAAATGATCTTGAAAGTCACTTCCAGTTCTGAGAATCTCTGTCTTTAGATTTGTAACTCAAGGGCGTGGTGGCCTGATTTGATCAATGAATTTAGAAGAGTTGTTCATAGAAATAAAGGGTTTTTTTTTTCAAATACCGTATTAAAACACCATTATAAAGTTACTGAACAATAACACTATACAAAAACATTACTGAGTTTAAAGTGTCCCCACCACCAGCATATTGTGGACTGTCTCTTATGTGCACAGGTGAATTGTTCTGAGGTGGTGGACAAGACAGCCCACTTAAAAGACCCTGAATGACTAGAGCGTTCAGTTAGCTGTGGTTCCTGTTAGTGGGGAGAGGTGGGCTGGCAGTTACTTGCAAGTGACTGGGAATTAAGCCTCCAGTCCTGCCTGATTTGCTGCTGTCTTTCATACCTTTCTTTGTCTTCTATGTTTCTTCACAGACAGTTTCAAAATCCACCTCATAATCCCTAGGTAACTTGTACCTCTTTACAAAAAAACTGTGGTCTTTGGTGGGGAGTCAATTTCCCCTCAAAGGAAAATTGTCATCGTTTTATGTCTAAAGTTGAATCAACTTCAGTTGTTACTGCTGGGGAATCACTGAGTTTCAGAACAAAGCAATTGATTCAGGATAAAAGATTTCAAACTTTAAAAAACAATTAATTTATTTTTCCTTTCACCCACAGGTCTACCCACGGATAGCGCCGGCATTTTGGCACTACCTGCGGGTAGAAGTGAGTAGCGGGTACTTGAATTCTCCCACCTTGCTCCTTGCACTCTGCTGGTGTGGTCTGATCCAGTGTGCCCATTTTATCCAAGATGCAGCTGCCATTCTGTGTAAACGTGCTCTCACGCCACCACCATTCCTTAGAGTTGGATCAGAAATCCAAGGCACCACAAATACAAGTGCAGTTTATATAAGATGATCATCTTTCTTAGTAAATTTTCAAATCAAGACCATACCATGTGCATAGTAATTGGTAAATAAGTAAGTGCTAAATTATGGAAAACTATGCTTACACCACTTTTTGATCAGTATTTTGAAAGTCAGAGCATAATTCCCCAGCTTAACTTTGGAATGTTTCTAGGAAAAAGTAGAATAACTGCTTCATTTCCTTTCTCGTCTTTTCTGTCCCCAGGAGCACGAGCAGCTCACCTATTCCTCCACGAGGTCCAAGGCACCCAGTGTCATCATCACGGGTCTCAAGCCAGCCACAAAGTATATTTTTCACATCCGGGTGAGGACTGCAACAGGATACAGTAGCTACAGTCAGAAGTTTGAATTTGAAACAGGAGATGAAAGTAAGTTTCACACAAAGACATAAAGTAAGATGTTACTTTACTACCGTTTGAATCTGACCTGGTAGTTAAAAAATCTAATGTCCCAAATTTTGAATGGTCTCATCAAGCAGAATTCTGTTCATGTAAATACTTAAACAGTCATTTCAGTTAATGTTTTAGTGCTATTGTTAAATATTTCCATGAACTGCCTTGCTCTATCACAATTGTAATGTGGCCCAAATATGTCTCTTTATGCGGAATTCATCAGTCAGGCCATAACATAGAGTCTCAGTGGGTGGTGTTAGCCTAATTGTTCATCAGTCTTGGCATCATAATGTGATACTAATGAAAACTTGAAAGAGAATAAAACCATGAGCAAATGATGTTAGCAGTTAGTTCAAAATTGTGTAGCTTTGGCTTGTTATCAATAAAAACAGTGATCAGGCGACAAACTCCACTGAAGTGCACATTAAAAGTTTTAAATATAGATGCATGAGTTTGATTAGAAACTCAAATTAATTCCATAGCCTCAATGTACTGAAAACCAAGACGAGGGGAGTGAGGTGTTCCAAAGTCATGTCACATAGCATTAAATGTCATATTCATTTTAAACTCAGCTCTATCATTGAATTATATTTTTGAGTTTAGAAATCCATCCTATTAATATCTTTGTAAGGGTAATACAGCTGGCTTTTGCTGTGTACTTTGGTGGAAAAATATCCAAATACCTAATTGTAATAAAAATCTGTTCCCATCATTGTTAAAATACTTAGATTTGTATAAGAATGTAAAAATAGCAAATTTATTATAAAAATTCTTTATGAATAACAATAATGATAGCTACCATTTACTGAGCCTCCCATAAGTGCCAAAAATGATGTGAAGTGTTTTACATGTATTATCTTATTTAAATGTTTCAGCATCCAATGAGACCAGCATTATTTTCCTAATTATACTTCTGAGAAATCAGAAGCCTAGGAAAGTTGAGCAATTTGTCTGTATTCATGCAGTTGGTAAGAAAGCAAAGCTAAAATTTGAAACTGAGGGCCATCTTCTTCCAAGGCCTGTGCTTTTAACTACTCCACCATCCGGCCAAGTCCTTTCCTTTGAATTATAAAGTGCTAATGGTAAGACCGCTAATTAGACCATAATTCCTCTGGTTTATCAGTGAAAGTGAAGCTAAGCTGAATGTGACAGAAAGAGTGTTTTATTGTTGTTTTATAGTAATGCACAATGTTGATCCATAAGAACTTTTTTGTTACAACTATATCTAACTAAAAAGTGGACGAGCACTGACATATCTAAATAAGAAAGAACACAGTTTCGGATTAGAGAAAACTAAGGGATAAAAAGATTACTTATACCCTAGATGTTTAAAGCCAGTGATAGTCATTTATAATCCTACCAGAGACGGTTGACTTTTCAAGCTAGAGATGAAATTATTGGGAGCAGAGTGCAATTATCACAAAGCAAAACTCTGTAAACAAAAGCAATGTAAAATATTCAGAAAGTGCCCCTACTATTTCCTATTGACTATTTTTTTCCCTGTCCCCATATCAAAACTTAACCTAGGTACAAAGCCAAACATGCAATTCAAGGTAAGTTTTGTCCAGGGAAGACTCACATCATTGTCTTGTCCAGGATGTGTTATTGCATCCTTGCATCTTATTTCACAGATCAAGAAATTCAGCTAACTTTTAACAAGTATGACAGTTTTGAGTATTATATCATCAAGTCAGAAATGTACTCTCAAACAAACTTATAATGCTAAATCTAGGTAAGTCATTTGTGTTCATCTGGGACTTTTAGATGAAGAGTCTAATCTAATAAGAAAACAGTAAGTTCTTAACTAAGTATTAAAATATTGACTTGGTTTTAACTTGAAATTTGAACTAATCGCACTTTCAGGACTAGAATTCTTTCAGAGGTCTTATAAAAGATAAATACTTTAAAATGCCTTAGCAGAGAGGTCCCATACTTACCAATGACCCAGTGTAATATTTACTAACTCAACAAAAAATGTGTTAAGATAATATGTGCTACACTCTATGTGATGCTCTGGCGATAAAAAGGTAATGATAAGCTCTACAGCCTCTGTCTTCACGTAATTTATAGTCTAGATTTGTGGGAGATAAAATGAAAATTTAAATAAAAAATAGAAGATTGGATGACACGTGCTATCAGGTAGATATGGAAACTGTGCTATAAGAGCGTAGAGAAGAGGCCCTGATTCAGCATGAATGGATCATGACGGGCTGGAGGATGGGAAAGGGGCTCATTCTTGGAAGAGAGGTAATAAAGAAAGAGCAGAAGCACTGAGGCCTGAGTCAGCATGAAAAATCTGAAGAAGAACCAACTACTTGGTGTGACAACAGTGGGGAGACTATGAAAGATAAAACATAGGGAGCTAAAGGCAAGAACTGTATACAGAGGCCCAAACGAAGGCGTTCTTTTGGCCGTGTTATGGGTATTGGGCCTTATGACGATATTGGGCATTCATGAGAGGATTATAATTAGGGAGTAACATGGCCAGTAATATGTGCAAGACTCTCTGCTGAGCAATTTACACAAATTATCTTTTTAATTCTGACAAGGTTATATCTCTTTTTGGAGACCTAAGTAGCTTTACCAAAATCTGATAAGAGAACTTTAGAGGCACCTGACAGTGGCAGCCTCAGACAGCAAAACCATATTCTGAATTACTGATTTGTAAATGTCATGTGAGTGACTTTTATTACACCCTTGAAGAGACACAATATTTGAGAAGAGTCTGAAAAATATGTTTGTCTAAACTTGGAGTTTGGGTACACAGAGTGGCTCCCAAGTCAATTTACAGCCTGAGGGAAAATCATTTAAAGGATCATTTTTTATCTGGTTAGCTTTAAATTGCATTTTCAAAGCGTGCTGTTTATTTCCAGAAGAGAATTTCAATGAATAATGTCATAGTAAGATATGGGTAGGTCTACTATAAATTCAGGAATATAATGATATGAATCCCAACTGACAGCATCAGATTTTTTTTTCTCTATATACCATCACAGTGCATCTTAAAATTTTTATACCTTTTGTTTCTCTGGTAGTACCTGAACTTTGTAATGTCTGCTTTCTTATTAACTTCTCTCTTGTGTATTCTGTTTAATTAACTGACTTTATAATGCATTGAGATGGGGTGTGAAGTAGGGAGGTGAAATTAGGTACTCTCTCATTTGATGGTCTGGTTCAAATTTTTTATAGTAAGCAAAATGAGTAGTAATTAACCATACCTATTTTACTTTGTCCAGCTTTTAGTTTGCTCACAACTATTGAGACAATAATATAAAATATGAAATAATTCCTTTTCAAAATCATCATGTTCTTAACTGACTGCTTGTGCTCTATAAACTTGGTGGTGTCTGAAGAACAATTACTGTGACTCCTCTTGCTCTTTTATCCCAGTGGTTGTTTTGTTTTTCCAGTCAGAATATGCTAGTGGAAACTGGCTAGCAAATTTAAAGATTACTAATTATGACTGCTAGCACTGTAAAAAGAGCCTGCTTGAACTATAGCAATTGGTTTCCTCTCTTCCTAATTCTATAGAACAACCTCATTAAATATATTGTATATGAAGAGATAGATAGAATTGATTGATAAATCTATAGATAAATAGGTTAATAGATAGTCACTCATATATAATCACGAAAGACTTTCCTTTTGTGTTTCAATACTGACATTTTGTGTGTCTGCTAATCTCTTTCAGGACTAACAATATGTAACTAAATATTATGTCCACTAAAAGCATTTATTGAGTGGCTATTCTGTACTTGTCTTTTTATTAGGTACTGTTATTGATTATCCCACCTTTTTGGAATTGATTTAACAAAATTACAATAAGCTACAGAATCAGTAGTGAGAAAGTAAGAATATATAAATATTCCATGCAAATCTTCTTGAAAGATAGGTGAAAAATAGATAGCTGTTAGAAGCTCTCTAATATAAGACATTTCTCAAATTAAAATAAAAATCATTTTATTCCCCAAAGTATCTCTCTCTCTCTCTCTCACACACACACACACACACATACACATACAATGGTTAATTATAGGCCTTTTTAGCTCTTATAGATAAAACAGGAAATTTTAACTGCCTCATGATTATTTTTATTTCTGTGCTTATTTTCTGGAGAAAATGTGCTCCTTTCCAATGGAGAAAAAGATAAGAATTAAAACTCAAAAGTTATCTACATAGCCAATAATGTTATCCAAATCCTTAAAAACTGCTTGAAAACCACGTTTGATTCAAGTTTAAGAAAATTCTGTTAAAATTACACCTATATTTTTAAAAAGAAATAATTTAATGAAAAGAAAGTCAAACATTTGTTTTTATTTAAAACATCACCAAGATTTATCTAATATTCAAATATATTTTACAGAAACAGAAAATACTTTTGTGGGTTCATTTTTAAAACCAAAATAAAATATATCCTGCTATATTGCAGTCAACTTAAACATTTTACTTATATAATATAAAAGAGCTTGTGAAGCTATCAAAAGGTAGGAGAATCCATAGCTTAAAGCCAACTTTTGAAAGAAAACTGGAATTTTACATGTAACTTACCTCTTCCATTGCCTTTATGGTTATCCAGAATGATCCAGGAGAATTAATGCATTGCCAACATATAAGCGATGCTTTCCTTTTCCCTGAAAAGATTAATTATACCTTAAATTTTAACAACACGTAAATTTAGGTTGTCACTCATAAGCTACATGAAGCATTCTCATAGCACGAAAGCCACATCTGCCATCATTTTAAAATATGCTATTGTTTACCAAAAGTAGTAACGATGGACTAAATTTATATCAGTTGAAATAATTAACCACACAAAAATCATTATGAACAGCATTAACTAAACAAGCTATAAATTACTGAATCATACTATTGCAAATTAGAATCTATGTCATGTCTTGTACATTTAGACAATGAGTTATGTAGATATAAATGAATGAATTTAATCACTTAATTATTTTGAAAACACCCATAAGATT